ATTGCTGGGCGAAGAGTCCCCAGAAATGGAACAATAATATAGAACTACAAGGGACACCATTATGGCAGAAGCGGAGAGCAAGGAGAAAGTTGAGTAATAATCAATATGCACAGTGTTATGTCATAACATGCTGGCTCTAGGGAAGGGGAACAGCCGCAGATGTAGCGGTTATTCCTTCTAACATCTTCTTCCATCTTTCTATTTCTTACGGCTGGTGCAACGGTTATCCCATTTACCATCTATATCTTACGGCTAATGTAGCGATTATCCCATTTACCATCTATTTCTAACGGCTGATGTAGCAATTATCCCATTTACCATCTATTTCTAACGGCTATTGTAGTGGTTATCCCATTTACCATCTATTTCTAACGGCTGATGTAGCGATTATCTCATTTAATATCTATTTCTCACGGCCTATGTAGCGGTTATCCCTTCTACCGTCTATTTCTAATGTTCTCGCGGGTTTTTATTTTAATATTTGCAATATATCATTGTCACGCTGAAATTCTTTTATCTGTATAGAGAAAAAAACAATAACAAAAACTTGTTTTCTATTTTGTGTTTCCATCTCTTCGACTATAAAACAGACAATCCATATCGTGCTTTAATTATTTCCTTAAGCACATAAGCCCGCTATCACGCATACATAAACTATGTTGGTATTTGCCGATTATAATATACAATTTTAATGATGTTAAAAGTATAGTACGCTCATTTATTGAGTAAGTCTTGCTATTCCTGCTTTTAAAAAAAAAATTAAGCTTTGGAAAGTTTATCTTCCCCCCCCCCCCCCCCCCACAACTCCTTCGTAATGATTCTTGTCTCTGCAGGTTTAAGAAGACTAATTTATGGTCATTTAAAAAACTGTTTAAAGTCACATCAATGCAGTGTTGTAAAAAAGATAGACTTTCACATCCAAATGATGGTGATGAGAAATATATTGAGCCTGAACATTTTTTCCCCAGTGAAATAAACTGAGCTAGTTTCCCAGTGAAATAAACGAGCTAGTTTCCCCAGTGAAATAAACGAGCTAGTTTCCTAGTGAAATAAATCGAGCTAGTTTCCCAGTGAAATAAACTTAGCTAGTTTCCCAGTGAAATAAACGAGCTAGTTTCCCAGTGAAATAAACGAGCTAGTTTCACAGTGAAATAAACGAGCTAGTTTCACAGTGAAATAAAACGAGCTATGTTTCACAGTGAAATAAAACGAGCTAGTTTACACAGTGAAATAAACCGAGCTAGTTTCCCAGTGTAAATAAACGAGCTAGTTTCCCAGTGAAATAAACGAGCTAGTTTCCCAGTGCATGCAACAGGCTAGATGATGACCGCACCATCTCATGTGACGTCAATAATCAACCTCTCGCGTAGTAAAGTTCTCCATTACCCACCCCTCACCAGCGGATCGATTTCTTATTTGAAATCCCCCCCGGTTCGAAATTTCTAACTTATTTAAAACGATCACGGGTAAAGAAGGAGAACAAAAAATAAAAAAAATGCGTCATTATTTGGTACTAAAAGTAAAAGTAAACAGATTCTTTTTAAAGATACAATTCAATTTATACAGTCGAAATTCTATTTATAACGTCTAGTAAACCATTTCTAACAACTAGCGATGTTTTAAGAAAGCTAAGATGACGACGTTACTGACGAGACTAATGTATCTTGTAGTTCAACCCTTCAAGCCCGTAAGTCATGTCAAGTAAATGATCTTCGGGGGGGGGGGGGTGTTGTTGCTCCAGGAGAGATGCCTGAAAAAAAAACTGCGTGTAGCGACAAGCAAATGATAACAAATCTATTGTACACGCTGTGTGTAAAAGGCTAATGTAACGACAAAACAAATCATAACTCATTTATTGCACTCGTATAAAACATATCAAAATATAAACAAAGCCAAATAACTTATAGTTTTAAAAAAAAATCTGTTTCTAGAAATAAGTTTCGTCAAATACAATCTTTGCGGTGTACATTAATTTCTATGAATCCAGTCTTCTGAAACACCTGTTACATCGATATACCAAGGAATCCCACTCTACTCCAGGAAACAAACTTGAGACAGTCGACCCTTTCTCCCTTCTTGAAATAATCTTACCGACACCAACTCTCTCCGTGGGGAGTCTATTGAAGAAAACTAGTCTAAAACAGACATAACAGGTGTTGTTTTATATTTCTATCGTCATCGTTTTATACTGGCTATAAATAGTCTCTGATATGAAGGAGTTGTTAAAATATGAGGTTTCTCATCTTTGAATATTCTTTACCTTAACTTAAGACAACAAAAAAATGTTTTTTAAGATATATTACACCAAAGAAATAGTTTTATTTATGATTTCTTCAAGCTTAAAAAACGTTTTAAGGAAAGACGAAGCCTTGACGACATTGTCAATATTTATATTCAAGTATTTGACCTCGCGGCCTCAGAGCCAGATCAATGAAAACTCCAGTGGTTTGGCTGATGAGTAAAAGAAAAATTCCCAAGTGTGTGCACATATAAGTGAGAGGTCCCCATGTCAAACACCAAGTGCTGGCGAACGACGCGTGTCAAAATAGTGATCTAATAAAAGACAGAAGAATTCAATCGGCTGATTATTTTTTTTAAACATTGAGGCGTTGGACACGTACAGTATTGATCTTCTCGCGTGGACGTGAGAGAACATCTGTCCTGTGATCGTTTTCATCAACTTCTGAGACAAAGACGCACTGAGATAGAAATCCATAGCCTCGCACAATAACTCTTGTAACAAAAACAATTACAAAGCTTTTTTTTTAAAAAAGAAGTTTGAGAATAATGTGTAACGCTTTTATTTTTTTTTATTGAAAAAAATATAATGAAAATAAAAATGACAGCACTTCATCATTCCAAGTAATGCAAAAACCGGTTTCCACGGAGCAGGCAATCCATAATTGAAGAACATCTAATTAAACATTTAAATTAATTCAATGATCATAATACAAATTCCAAGCATCAAACGTGTTATTATTTAAAAAGCTGTAATTAGAGTGCATTGTGCCTAATGTTTCAAAACAAATCAATAGTTGCAGATTGTGGCAAAACCTGGAACAAATATGCCATATATAGATATATATATATATATATATATATATATATATATATATATATATATATATATATATATATATATATATATATATATATGTATACATATATATATATATATATATTGTATGCGTGTGTATGTGTGTGTCAACTTTTATAATAACTATCTTTGTAACATGCTACAGATAAATTTAACAGCGATTGTCTCAAGTAGTTCAAAGAATAATTGGACGTGTATAATCTACCTGTTTTATTCCTTCATGCTACTGTTGATGTTATAAAAACTATACCAAATTTTATTTAAAATAAGCCGAAGTTTAAAATGTAATTTTTAATCAATTAGAAAATAAAAATATATTTGGTGCAAATAACGTGGTTAAAACAATATTGCGATAACAATGGTGTTTACATGAAAGTAAATAACGTTCTGATTATATGAGTCAACATATGAATAGATGAACTGTGGTGCTATAGCTACACATATCCAATCTCACCGTGGGAATAGATGAACTGTGGTGCTATAGTCACACATGTTGTCAGATCTCACCGTGCGAATAGATGAACTGTGGTGCTTTAGCCACACATGTCCAATCTCAGCATGGGAATAGATGAACTGTGGTGCTATAGCCACACATGTTGTTCAATCTCAAAGCTTCGGTAATGACCAAAGATCTAAATGTTTATAGAATGTATTTACGTTAAATATGTACATCACATTCATTATGATCTATGACCTGTAACATATTTACACGCCCTGAAAAAACCCCAGTCATAAACAGTAAATCTAAAATATCTAAACCTATCTGAAAGCTAAAATAATTATGTCAGCTTCTATTGTCTTTTACATTTTTTTCTACAGAACTGAACTATACTATATATTTTGAAGCGTAGTTAAACACTAATATTTACAAGTTTTTACTACACAAGGCATAGGTCAAGCATTTGCTTGGTTCGCTACTTTCAAGCGCATAACCTTATAGACCTTTAAAAAAAAACAGCAGAAATTTTAATCTCACATTGGAGGCAAAAATAGTAAACTGAATTTATGTAAAAGGTACATCTTTCTTGTGATTTAATAGATTATCAATAAACATAATCTTACTTTGATAAACACATGATTTATTTTGGTTTCGGTTTGATGGATCTCTCGATCAGGTCAATAGTTTGACCCACAACAATCACGTGACATAATTCTGATTAAACTTGTTGTATTTTATTTAGCGAAATAACATGTTATAGTAAGTATAGAGAGTAAACAGAGAATTTTAAAAAAATAGATTTAACTTGAGAATATCAATGATAGTACTGTGCAATGTTTTTTGGATAACCAATAAAGTCGTTAGGTTTGGTTTGACAGTAGTGCCCCATGGCAAGCTTGATCGGTTTTGGCTTTAAAATGGTTTAATCCTGGCCACTTAGAGTATTTTGTTACAGTATTTTTCTGTAAACAATGTAGACATGGTTGGCGGGTTGTAGCGATGACTTTAGTGTAACTTAGTTTATGTCAGAACACTTTACTGTCGTGTTTACCGTTAGCAAGTGGTTGTCTACAAATGACGTCATACAACAGCGGAAGGTGTGTTTGGATTTTTATTTTATTTTATTTTAAAGTGGGGGGGGGGGGGGGGGGGGGCTCAAAAAGTGTGACTTTGCACTTTTGCATCTTATAGAGTAATTTTTAACAACTAACATTTTGAATTATTTAGTAAAATTTAGATTTTAAAGTGTTACTAATATACCTAATTTAGACAAAGCTCAGTTAATATTTTAGACAAAAATCTCAGTTTCATTGAACACAAATTTAGTTCGATAGTGGTGGAGGGGGGGGGGGGCTGAAGTATGTCGTCAATTAAGGCAGTGGTCTGACTCAATGTGACGCTTTTTTATGATGGGAAGGGGTGGTAAATTAGTAAACAAAAAACAACAACCCAAATCGCCGTCATTTATGGACAACCACCAAGAAAACTGGGTAGTTTAAAATTTTGAACTTGAACAATATTTCTCTCGGATCCTGGATCGTTTCTAATTTAATAAAATACTAAATCTGTGTTACATGCTGGTACTTCTGCTTCCATCAAGATGAATGTTAATTAGCAGTTAAAATATTGTACAATTGAGTAAAGTTTATAACGTTATAAGGATGTGTGCAGCCTCAGCTTAACAAGAAATTAACCGTTAGAATTTTAAAATTCAAACATTTAGATAAGAATGAGTATATTAAAAACAGATGTGCGCAACATTGGAATTAAAAATATAAAAATACTTATTTTAAAACCCATTTTAGAATAAATACTTTAATAATCGTTCTGTTCTTTCTTAATTTATAAAGGCGTCACCTTTGATTTTTCGATAACGTTTTCATTCATTGCTTTTATTTTTCATGCCAATTTTTAAACATAGAACTCTTTATCTTTCCGAATCTTCATGGGGAGACTGTTGGGATCAGCAGCTAGAATGTTCTCTAGCGTGTCACTAGAGCCATAGAGAACTTGCTTGTCCATAGACGGGCTTTTAGCGTCAGTATCTAGAATGTTCTGTAGTGTATCGCTAGAACCAAAGAGCACGTGCTTGCTCATGGGCGGGCTGTTGTTGTCAGCAGTCAGAAGGTTCTCCAGTGTATCACTCGAGCCAAACAAAGCTTTCTTGTCCTCCTTTAGACTCCTGCGGTTCTGGACCTGCTTCAGCACGGGTTTGACCACTTTAGTTCTACACTGGATGAAGATGTACACGACGCAGATAACGATGATAACGCCGCCGACGAAAAAGATGACAGACATCTTGATCTGAAGTAGGAGATGTTTGTTGCGGTCGAGGTAGTGATGGTAGGCCTCGGCGTCTGATGAGGGGTGAGCTGAATGTTCCGTGTACAAGTGTCGGCTCATCATCTCGCTGAGTCGAGCTCAAATCAGGAAAACGTCACTCTCAGATTCTTGATTTTTTAACACTCATGTTTCCGGGTTTTTTTTTTCTCCTGATTAATTTGTTAATTGGAGAAAATGTATTTTCTTGAACAATTTGCGTTTAGATGATTTTCTGCACAGACTTTATAAATGTCTTGTAACAGAGGCTGAGAAATAAAAAAAGACATTTATTTTAGGAAAAACATTACGTGATTTATGTAGATGAATAATATAATAATAATGCACACGTGTAAAGAACAGACATCGACAAAAATACATTCATACATTCAATGCGGTTTATGGCACATGCAAAAACCATAAATATTAAAAGTTAGAGAGAAAAGAAGATAAAAATATGAGCGCAAGTTTTGGTGTTTTTTTTTTTTAAACTCGGCATTCAGTTATACGCTGGCTTACGTATTCCGTCGTGGGAAAAAGTTGGCCAGTTTGTACGATATAACACGACTCTCGTGGGAAATCAGAGGGGAATAGATGGGACAGACACAGGGCGAGGCGGGGAGCGAGCAAAGGTTGCTCAGCGATCGGGGAATGCAGTAGTTGAATTATGAGTCTATTTACCGGGCCCATTAGATGCAAATCATCTCTTCTATAGATAACATGCCACGGTTGATTGTTGCCATAAGTTGGGGGCCGTCGCATGCGGTCTACTAAATAGTTGGGGGCCGTCACCTTCACTATTAAAACTTACAACTAAATAGTTGAGCAAACAACTTACAACTAAATAGTTGGGCTAGCAACTTACAACTAAATAGTTGGTCTAGCAACTTACAACTAAATATTTGGGGTCTATCACATGCGGTCTAGCAACTGACAACTAAATAGTTAGGGGCCGTCACATACGTCTAGCAACTTACAACTGGGGACCGTTATATGCATTATTACAACTTAATCTAAACAGTTGGTGGCCGCTACGTGTGTCTACCAACGTACAACTCAATGACACATAATAGCCCTATATACTCAACCTAGTTACTGCATCTACCTTTACAAAACAGAAATAATTGCAAATATGATTAACAAAATTACAAATCATTTATCATAAAGTAATTTCCAACAAATAAACAATAAAGATAAAATATGCATCGTATTGCATTAGTGTTAATACAATTTGGCAGCGTCAAACATTATTTCGTTAACTTGACATAAATCTACAGCGTATGTTTGTTTGTGGTTGTCATCCTTGAAATCTGAATGATCTCCCTTGAAATCTGAATGATCTCCCTTCAAATCTGAATGATCTCCCTTGAAATCTGGATGATCTCCCCCAACAATAGTAAAAAAAAAAACATGGACTGTAAATACAGCTCAAACGCCCTATTGTGGAAAATGTTTAAAAATTTAAGGTATTTTGACATACTGGTATAGTAAAGTAACCGATTCTGTAAGTTTTAACACTGTCTACACCTTGGTCAAAATGTAAGTTTTAACACTGTAATACATGTCGCATTAATTTTCCCTGGCAGAATTTGTGTCTTACTTTGCGACGGATGTATTAAAGTTTTACTGGATAGATTGTCTGATGCAGGTCCATGTCTATTGTGTAAAATTAAAATTTTACTGGATAGATTTTCCGATGCAGATCCAAGTCTATTGTGTAAAATTAAAGTTTTACTGGATAGATTGTCTGAAGCAGGTACAAGTCTATTGTGTAAAATTAAAGTAACGGACTTGGCTCAGGCCCAGGGATACGCGGAGAAAAAAAGAAATTTGAGCCGATCAATGTGAGCATAAACAATAAGACGAATGCATTTTTTTCTATTATTAAAAGATTACGAAAGTAAAGAAAACATTTAGTAAAAACGGAATTTTACAAGGCTGAAAATTAGATGTAAGCGGATTACATACATGCTGTCTCAGGTTGTGTGTGTGTGTGTGGGGGGGGGGGGAGTAACGTGGGGGGTGGTCACTGAACGTATATGTCATGATCTATATGTCAGATGTAGTGTGGGTAAACCACATATTTCAGTGCCATATTTATCGGACACAAATTTTCACTCAGAAAAGTGTAAGAATTTTTACGGGATTTTTTAATGAAGTAAATTGTAAATATAATACACTCCTTTTAGTACCAGCTTCACGGTGTTTAGACGGACAGCACGAAATTTAATTTCATACAAAACTTATTATGAGAGTAATTCTTTTATGAGAGTAATTCTTTTGGGAAACAAATGCTCGAGTGTGATAATTTTCTTTCGGTTTTTAACTAAATCATTATATTTTTTGTGTGCTCGAAAACGAAATATTTGAAATGAGATTCCCTGGAAGCTTATTAAAAATATTTTCTGAAAGGAAGGGCTCAATCTGGTTTCACTTTATAGAACAATGAAATTGTTACAGAGGAGGAATTATGATTTCAAAGAAAGAATTATGGTTACAGAGGAAGAATAGATTACAGTGGGGAAATAAATTTAAATAAAAGTAATAAACACACAAAAGATCCAATTTTACACTCGGATTTGTGTCTAAGTCCAAATTAACAAAAGCAAAACTACACAAGTGAACCAATCTATGTACACAGATCTCTAGTGCAAGCCTAAAAAAACAAGCCTAAATTACACAAGTAATCTAATATATATATAGACTAATCTCTGGCGTAAGCCCAAAGAAACATAGGCCATGTATTGGGTTACGGAGTTCACAGTTAAAACTCTAATCATCATTAGGGGCTATAATTAATGCTAGTAAATTGTTAGGATGAGATTTATATTGGGCACAGTTGTATGATGCTGGTCCAAAAGTTAACATTTTCTGTTGATATACACGTTTTTGTTGGGGGCTTGACATACACGTTTCTGTTGGGGGCTTGACATAAAAGTTTCTGTTGGGGGCTTGACATAGAAGTTTATGTTGGGGGCTTGACATACATGTTTCTGTTGGGGGCTTGACATACATGTTTCTGTTGGGGGCTTGACATACATGTTTCTGTTGGGGGCTTGACATTCACGTTTTCCGTTGGGGGCTTGACATTCACGTTTTCTGTTGGGGGCTTGACATTCACGTTTCTGTTGGGGGCTTGACATACACGTTTCTATTGGGGCTTGACATAAAAGTTTCTGTTGGGGGCTTGTCATACACGTTTCTATTGGGGGCTTGACATACACGTTTCTGTTGGGGGCTTGACATAGAAGTTTATGCTGAGGGCTTGACGTACAGTTTTCGGTTGGGGGCTTTACATACATGTTTCAGTTGGGGGCTTGACATACACGGTTCAATTGGGGGCTTGACATAGAAGTTTCTATTGGGGGCTTGACATACAAGTTTCTGTTGGGGGCTTGACATACACAGTTCTATTGGGGGCTTGCATACAAGTTTCTGTTGGGGGCTTGACATACACATCTTGTGTAGGACATAATGCCCCGCGGCTAGCTGAACACATAATCTGGCTTATAATCTCTCCTATAATCTCTCCTATAAGAAGGATTTCCCCATAATCTCAATAAAACATCGGAAATAATATATCTCAATCCAATTAAATCTTGTCTCTAAATCCCAGCGAATCAATGCCACAATCCCCGGCAATTCTTTTTTACTTTAACCCTGGCTTAACCAACATCCTCAGGCTTAATCCGTGCTCGCCAAACAATGTCCAGTATAAAGTGAAATCAGAATTGTACCAGTTACATAGGCGTGTTACAAATGTGCGGAGATAAATTTTCTTTGGGGGTGTCATGTAGAGTAGAACAGAGGTTAAGCTAATGAGTGTAGGGCAGATTTTCTAAACATGAGTTTAGGGCAGATTTTCTAAACATGAGTTTAGGGCAGATTTTCTAAACATGAGTTTAGGGCAGATTTTCTACACGTTTTGTCACTCACTACTTCTCTATATTGACTTTTATATCCGTGATATATATATATATATATATATATATATATATATATAGTGTTCATACATATATGCATATATAAACACACACACACATATATATATATATATATATATATATATATATATATATATATATATATATATATATATATATGTGTGTGTGTGTGTGTGTGTGTATTTGTTTGTATGTATGTCTGTGTGTGTGTGCAGATGTGTGTGCAGATGTATTGACATTTTTTAGTTGTGATGAATGCACTTGTTATTCTGCGCCAAGTTAATGAAATGCTGAGGTCACTGAATAGATGCTAATCATATTGATTTCTAATTTGGGTTTCATTGAAACACAACCAGAAAATCCATTTTGGCTGCCACTAATATATTTTATTACTTTTGCACGAGAAATTCATCATACTTCATAACACATTTTTAAAAAAGTGAGATTTTATCTTCCATGTCTGTTCAAAAGCTTGCAAACAAACAAATGAACAAAATAGAACATCCCTATCTTAGTTAGATCAGCCTTGGTGTACTCATGTAAACAGCCGATGCGGGATTATTTCCGTGACTTCTCTAATGGAGAGCGTCTGGTGTAATGTACGTGTTTGTGTGGGCGAACTCTTCTGTTTATTCATGTTATCAGTCATCGTAAATCTGTTGGTCACTTAACCGTTCTTCACATTAGGATTAACGTTAGTAGAAAGCCGTTTGATAGCTCATACATTAGGATTAGAAATCCCCAGCGGAGATCAATGTACATTAGTCCCTACATTAAGATATTTTTAAAAACACCAGCGCACAATGGTATAGAGAAAAGCAGACATGAGATTTACATTAGGTAGAAATGCGAACCAGTGCTGAAGTAAAGATCACATTGTATTAATGGAAGCTTTCTCAGATTTACTTTGAACAGATGTTACAAAAATGAATAAGAAAAGTGTATAAAAAATAAAAATATATTAATGTTTAAGGATACAAAATTTATAGGAGAGAGAGAGAGAGACAAGAAGGAGTCTGTCTTTTTGTAACTATTACGGAGTCTACAGACCAAAGTTGCTTGGTAGTCTTTCCTGACCGCATCTCATGCATTGTAAAATGTGTTAAGATGATATACGCGGTCTTTACATTTACTCTGACCTTTTAACTAAAGTGTACTCAGTTTAGTTTGAGAACAATATAGATCTGTTTACAAATCTCAAAGGGCATTTACAACACATTGTAGTTAGGTTATTAGTCTTGGGCATCTGCTCCCTAACTTCATTACTCGGTAGCACTCCCACAAATTAATCTGAACACATACGTGTTTGTATTTTCTCAAAACAA